TTTTTTTGGTTTTTCTCCGGTACCAGGAACCGAACTCACGACCTTGTGCTTGCCAGGCAGGCGCTTTTGCCGCTGAGCTAAATCCCCAGTCCTTCTTTTGGTCTTTTTGAGACAGGGTCTCACTATGTATTTCAGGCTGGCCTTGAGCTCACTTTGTAGCCCAGGCTGGTCTTGAACTCCCAAGGATCCTCCTGCCTCAGCCTCCTGAATGCTGGGATTACAGGTGTGCACCACCACGTCTGGCAGGTTTTTTACTTTTTAACCCTGTTTGGTTTTCCATTTCATTGGTTTTCATTCTGATCTTTTCTTTCACTTCATTTGTTCTTCTTTTACTGAGGTAAAACTAACAACTCATGGATGAGGTGAAAGTGAAGTAATTGATTCGAGACCCTTTTTTCTAACATAGGGATGTAATGGCTAAACTTTGCCTTTAATATTGTTGTAGCTTCATACTTTGAATTTCATGTTCTGTTTTGTAGATTTTATTTTTTGTGTATTTTTACAATAAATAGTCTTTCTTGATAAGTCATGTTTGATCCAAGTTTCTATAACTTGTTGCTGTAATATATCAAATTTTGCTCTTTGTCCTCCTCTTTAAGTTGTCACCCTTGTGCTTTACAATCTGTTATGCTGTGTATTTTATCTTTACATAATTTCCAGTACTAAATGATAAATTGTGGGGAGACTTTTAGAGAGCTCTAATTCACATTATGCAGTTTTTGCAAATTTATTGCACAAAAGTACATGATAGCAAGTGCAAGGTCCTGAGTTTGATTCTCGGTACCAAAAAAAGTACATTATAAAATTTGACTTTGTATTTAAGAATTGTGTATGAACACATTATGGTCACATCTCCATGAAGAGATGGGCTTTTTGAACATCTGCATTTTGTGAAAGATAAAAATCTCATTTCTTTGGGCAAATGCATATGTGGTGGCAACCTATCAGTTTCGGATAGATTTCGTCAAGATTTAAATTGTTCATGATATTTCAATAGGTTCTTTTTGTTTTGTTTTCTGGTACCGGGAATCGAACTCACAACCTTGTGCTTGCCAGGCAGGCTCTGTGCCACTGAGCTAAATCCCCAGTCCCCTGTTCATGGTATCTCAGATGCTGCAGTTATAAATTACCAATTACCAATCATACAATTACCAATCATAGTGTTGTGTATTTATACGTTTAGCTGCCCATCCTCTGCCCCTGCTTCTCTCCCTCCCTCTTTTCTTCTCTCCTTCCCTCTTTCCCTCCCTCCCTCCCTCCCTCCTTCCTCCGTTCCTCCCTTTCTTCCTTCCTTCCCTCCCCTGTCTCTTCCTTGCAATATTGGTGATTGAACCCAGGGCCTTTCACTGAGGTACATCCCTAACCCTTTTTTATTTTGAGACAGTGTTTTGCTAAGTCGCACAGGCTTGGCTTGATTTTGGGGTCTTCCTGCCTTAGCCTCCCAAAGTATTATAATAACAGGGATGGACACATTTGGCCTGCTGACCTGTTTTCTTTATTTCTGCTAATAACTGTTAGAGCCATGCAGCTGTCATTAGTATACCTGTTCATGCTTGCTTAAAAAATGTTGTTGTCTATTTTAGTGTGTAAAATGGCCTATGAAATGTTTTTATATTTCTCACCTTCCCCTTGTAAAATATAAATAAATGTTTTCTAAACAACTTTAAAATTTTTTTGAGAATTATATTTCGAGGAGTGTGATTTTTTGGTGGAGTTGATTTTAGAATTTGGGGACTTTGGTCTTTTGGGATTTCAGCATTGAGGATTTGTGTTGTGGTTTGTGTGTCGTTCAGGATAACAACCCCCTTAGTTTCTTCAGTTACTTAAATGTCCTTTTTTATTTCTTTTATCTGTGTTATTTTCTGGTCTGTTTTGATAGATTTTTCCTTTTCATTACAGGGCAGTATGTTTCTGCCTCTTTACATACTGCTTTGATTGGATGTTTGGCCATTTTAAATTTTTATTCACTGACTTTAAGCAGTTTAATTATGTTGTAACTTTACTTTTTAAAATTTTTTCTTATGCTTGAGTTTGTTGAGCTTCTTAAATTTGTGGGAATTCTACAGTTTCTATCAAATTTTGGAAAATTTAAAATATTCTTTCTTCCCTCTAGTTCTTTAGGGACTCAGGCTATATTCATAGCACTTTTAAATTATCTCACAGCCCACTGATATTCTTTGTACTTCTTTTTTTATTTTATTTTGATAGTTTCTGTGGCTTCCTGTTTCTCTTTTTTTACAGTGTTTATAATGTACTTCAATTTTATCTACTGTTTTTCATCTTAGACATTTTTATCTTTAAAAGTTTAATTTGTGGGGGCTGGGGATTTAGCTCAGTGGCAAAGCGCCTGCCTGGCAAGCGCAAGGTCGTGAGTTCGGTTCCCGGTACCGGAGAAAAACCAAAAAAAAAAAAAAAGTTTAATTTGTGGTTTTAATGTTTTCTGTTTCTACTGAACACATTACCTTCTTAAACATATAGAATGTAGTTATATATATTCTATAACTCTTAATATCCTTGTTTACTAGTTTTGTCATCTGTCTCATTTGGGCATGATTTTTTTTTCTCCTTTCCCTTTTTTGTGTATTTGTTGCTTTTTTATTGCATACCAAAATAATTAGGAATTTTACTTTGAATGCTGAATGTGTTTCCTTCCTATGTGTATTTGTCAGCTTTTTTCTAGAATGCACTTACATGGAAAAATGTCATCCTTTTGAGACTTGATTTTATGATTTCTTTAGGCAGGACTAGAGTTTACAGTTTAGTCTAAGGTCACTATTTAATCATTACTCTTTAATGATTTCCCCCACTGTTTAATATTACTCTTTGTGGTATTTTACTCAGTTTCTTGTGACTTTTACAGTTGTCATGGTGGATGTTAAAAACCCAGATTACTCCTACTGTATAAAATTTAGTCTTGTCTTTTTACAACTTTTATTTGTTTATTTACTTATTTTCAGTGTTACTAGGATTTGAACTTAGTACTGAGATGTATCTCTAGCTGGTTTGGTTTGGTTTGGTTTGGTTTGGCTTTTGGTACTAGGAATCGAACTCAGGACCTCACGCTTGCCAGGCAGGCACTGTGCTGCTGAGCTGTATCCCTGGCCTAGCCCTTTTTTTTTAAAGGAGAGTAGTAAAAAAAAAGAACTATTAAAATACCAACATCACAGATACTAACAAAACAAAGCAAGAACATTAAAAATGATAGAGTTTCAAAATAAAATGATAGGAGTTAGCAGTGGTTGTTATATTACATATTGTTATCTTCAGGTAAGTTGCTCAGATCTGGCCTAGCCCTTTTGTATTTTGAGACATGGTCTCACTGCATTGCCCAGGCAGGACTTAAATGTGTGAGCTCTTGCCTCTGCCTCCTACATGCTGAAATTACAGGTGTGCTGTATTCATTTGGGTTGGTTTTTTTTCCTGACCTCAGGTAGTTTCCTAAGACTTCATGATCACTTTATGTGAAGCCTGGGGGCTGGGGATTTAGCTCAGTGGCAGAGCGCCTGCCTGGCAAGCGCAAGGTCGTGAGTTCGGTTCCCGGTACCAGAGAAAAACCAAAAAAAAAAAAAAACTTTATGTGAAGCCTTGTAAAGGCTTAGGAGATGTTGAGCCTCTCTGTACAACTCTCTCCACTCTGGTATTCTGCCCTGCAAATTCCTACTTTTTTTGACTTCCCCAGATTTTAACTTGCTATGTTCAATTCAGGAAAACCTCTGAGATCCATTTACATTCCCCCTATTAGAACTGGATAAATCTAGGCAGTGCTGTTTCTCAGGGATTACTACCCTTGTATCTATCTAGTATATTGAATATATTGAACTGTTTCATGTATTTTGTCCTCCTTTATAGGTTGAGGGGGGTGGTTGAAGCCAATCCCTGTTACTCCATCTTGGTTATATGTGGGTGTTTTCTGCATTGTTTCTAATATATGTCAGATATTTAAATCATCCCTTAGTATCCAGGAGATTGGCTCCAGGACCCATCTTGGAAAACAAAATATGTGAATGTGTAGTATTTGCATATACTCTGCACAATCCTCTCATATATGTAAATCATCTCTGCACTACTGATAATACAGTGCAAGACCGATATAAGTAGTTTTAATCCTATGTTGGTTAAGGAATACTATAATGACAAGAAAAAGATTGTACATGTTTAGTATGAACACGAGAAACCCAAATGTATTGTATAGTGCACATATCTAATATATAAACACAGTTAAATATGTTCTAAAATTTTAATAGGTATCTTTTCTTTTAAAATATCTTTAAGGACCATGATTCTGTAGTCTTACTACTCAAAAATATTCTCAGACCAAACACATTGATATTACCTGGGAAGTTGTTAGACAGATTCTCTGACTTTATCCTCAGAATCATAATCACCACATGATGCGTGTTCATTAAAGTTTGAGAAGAACTGGACCATTCTAAAAATGGATTGTGCTCTTAACCATGGATAGTATTTTGTAGTCTGTGGTTGATTGACTTTTTTTGTTTTTTTTTAATTGACTTTTTTTGGTATCAGCTTGTAATAGTTTATAACGTTTTACTTCTGTATTGCCTTTCTCCTTAGGCAGCTGACTTAGGTACAGTACTCTCAAAAGGAGACACTTAAAGACTACAGAGGAAAAAAACATAAAACACCACCAGTCACCCTTTATCTTACCATCAGGTTAGAGATATTTATGAATACCAGAGTATTTTTTTCTTTTAGGATAGCGAGGTCTCATCTGTTAGTTCCTTTCAGATCTTGACTGACCTGTGTAAGTCAAGTCCCTCTTTTTTCAGAGAGATTTAGAGGAGGGAAATTTGGATCTTAGAGTGTCATCATCTTGGTGTCAGCCAGTTGCCAAATAATTTTGATGTATTTCCCAGCCTCAAACATTTGGTCTTCTGCCACCCTAATTCTGTCCAGCAATGTAGGGCTAATTTCTTTTTCAGAAAATGCTGAAGTTAGAAGCTAGGTTTAGTCATTTTAATTCTGGCCTTGGGCTATAACTGTGCTTTCATTTTTCCTATAAGAGAAATTTCCATTAAAGGAAGTTTTCACATACATGCTGAAATCCACTTGCAAACCGTGGACTAGGAAACCATAAAGATAATTTTAAGGAATTTTGGGTCATACATGCTTTTGAAAACTTAATGAGTGCTGCTGTAGAAAATGCATTGTTTGTTCAAAAAAGGTAAACATAGATTCTCTTTACATATTTACCCATATAATTGAAAACAGATACTCAAGTAATTGTACACAAATACAGTGGTTACTGAAAACTATCTTAAGTGTCCATCAGTGAATGTCTCAGTTACTTTTTTCTTGTTGCTGAGACAAAATATCTTGACAACCAAAGTTAGAAGGAGAAAGGTTGATTTAGCTCACAGTGTGTAGAAGTTTCAGTCCATAGTTAGCAGAGAATAGTTCATTGCAGCCAGAAGATAACAAAACAAGCAAGGGAGGAAGACAAACTTCTTTCTATCCCTTATATTGTATGCAGGCTACCAAGTCAACCAGTGGACTGATTTAGTGATCACACCCTCAATCACAGCATCACACACTCTAGGTTCAGCCACCTCTAAAAAAGCCCCACCTATAATCACATGAGGCTTTGGGAGGACATCAAACACAAGCCATACCAGTGGATGACAGGATAAATGAAATGTGGTGTATCCATATGTTACCTACTCAGCCATAAAAAAAAAAGGCAGTACTGATACATCCTCTAGTGAGGATGATCCTTGAACACATGAATAGTATTAAGAAGTAAGACACAAAAGGTCACTTACTGTATGGTTCTGTTTATATAAAATATACAGAATAGGCAAGTCTGTAGAGACACAAAACATTGGTGGGTGCCGAGGGCTGTTGGGAGGAAGGGAATAGAATATAGTATGAGTATATCATTTTTTTAAGAGATGAAAATACAGTTCTTTTTGGGTTTTTTTGAGACAGGGTCTTGCTATGTAGTTCAGACTGGCCTTGAACTCATTATGTAGCCTAGGCTCAGCCTCCCCAGGGCTGGGATTACAGATGTAGGCCACCACACCTGGCTTTTTATTTTTGATTGCCCAACATTATGAATGTATGAATGTATTAGGTGCCACTGAATTGTATACCTTCAAATGGTCAATTTTATATGGATTTCACTTCAGTAATCTAGGGAAGTACATATTCCTATATGCACACCAGAATTTATAATTTCAGGGAGTGGTTTGTGGATCTCAGATAAAGATTTCCCTTAAGGAATTAAAGGACTTCAGGTAAACTTTAGCTGTAATATGGAACATTTTATTTATAAATGTGGTATAGTACTAGGGTTAATATGTGACTGAATAGTTTTTCTGACACTATATGGTTTTTATTCACTTGAATAGTTTTATTACATAGGCTTCATATTAACAGATTCCAATATAAATGTATGTATTTACTGTAGCTTGATGAGTTTTAGTAAATTTGTATAATTACGCAGACCTCATCAGTTTTGAAGACCTCTATCTGTTCAGTACATGTGTATTTTTACATTCATACCCACTCCTACTTTCTGCCATAGACAGACATGATTATGTTTTTAGCTATTATAATACTGATAACAAATACATTTTGAAATTTTCATTCAAAGCTGTTATTCCATAGATCTCTTAATATATGTATATTTTTATTTCTTTTAATATGATAGTGTCTCTTTGTCTTCGTAGTCACTGGTATTTTCTTTTGTCATCTCACTTGTGCTCATTAGCTTCTCTAATGTTTTCTTTATATACTTTTGATTTGCTTTCATTTGGTTATTATTAATAATTTGGGCTTCTTCTGATTTCCTATTTGTTAAATTATTGTCTTATTTTCTTTTATTTCTTAGAACAGTTACTTCAGTTTTTGAACATCTTCTTGTATTTGCTTACATCTAAAACCCATTTCATTTTCCATCTTTCTTTGTCTAATTCTACCATATGTATGGGTCATACTTCTCACAATTCTTATTTGATCATGTTTGGACAACTCATCCTTTTTTAAATTGCTTATGTCATTACTTTGGAGAATGGCTAGGGTGCATATTATTTTATTTGCCTAGCTAGATCATAAGCTTCCTTGGATAGGATCTGTACCTTAAAAAAGGAGGATTTAGCGAAGTGTTAATAAACTTAATCCTGTTTTTATAGTCTATATTTAAATACTTAACTGAATTTCCTTTAAAAATAAACTAAATTACTGTACTGAATTCTATTAATAGCTGTGGAAGAGCTTATCATAATTTCAAGTCAAGGACTGAGTTGATAAATATTAAATGTGGGAAAATAATGCTATGTATGGGTTAACTTGTGAAACTAAGAAAACCCACTTCATTTTCCAGGGTTTCCTGATTGAGTTTCCTAGCTGTTTCTAGTTTGTGTGTGTATATATATATATATATATATAGATAGATAGATAGATAGGTAGAGAAGTTCTATTGGTGGAACCAAGCATGGTTTCTTGCAAGAAATTTTTTGCAATAAATGGGAGAATTATTGGTAAGAGTAATTAAATTGTGGGGCTGGAGATATAGCTCAGTGGCACAGCACCTACCTGGCAAGTGCAAGGCCCTGAGTTCGATCCCAGTACCAAAAAAAAAAAAGAAAAGAAAACCAACAGTAATTAAGTTGTATGAACTTTGGAAGACCAGAGCTAAAATTCAAATGTTCTTGTTCGCTTAGACTACTGTAGTAGTAATAATAGTATTAGTACAGTAGTTTTCTATAGTGAATGCATTACGGTATGAATGTTCTGCATAGTCAGCATTGAAGGTAATTGGGAAAACTTTGAACATAATTCACATAGTAATACAATTTTAATTTTAAAAGTCTTATAATTTAAAGAAGGTTTTTAATTTTTTTTTGTTTTCACATTTTTAGGTATGCCATTGCATTGGCGCTAAGGGAAAAACAGCGTGTAATATTTACTAGCCCAATTAAGGCTCTCAGTAATCAGAAATACCGTGAAATGTATGAAGAATTTCAAGATGTTGGTCTGATGACTGGAGATGTTACCATTAATCCTACAGCATCTTGTCTAGTTATGACTACAGAGGTAATTCATGTAGTATCTCATCTACTTTTTTCTTTTTAAATTAGTAAATTTATTCATTTAGTACATGTGTTTTATCACTTGCTCTTTTAGATAAAATGTAATTTTTTAGTGAATGTATTTGAAATGGGTACCTATATCTTAAAGTGTTCTAGTAGCATTAAATGTATTTTCAAAGTATTAATGTTTCTGCCATTCCTTATATAATAGACGTATTTTTAAAGTACTTTTAAAGGTTTATTGCTGTCAGTGACATTGAAATATTAGTTAGTTTTGTATATGTTGTTCCAAAGATTTGAAAACATAGTTTCCTTTGAGTAGTTGTTCCCATGTGGATTTTTTTTTTCTTTCTGCATCTAAGTATTGGTTACAAGTAGGTAACCAATTACCTTGTTTTTCAGAAATTAACTTGTTTTTCAGAAAGCATTATTATATTTAGATTTTTCCTGTGATCACAGTTTTAGATGTACTCATAACATCTCAAGTTTTAGACAGGATTACCTCTCTTTAGTGTACTCAGTACTTTTGTATATACTTTTAATAATATCCTTTCATTTTATGGGCTTATAGTACAGAGAACATAAACTAGCTTCTGGTCTGGCCAGCCAGCCAAAGGCATTGTTTACTTTACATTTTGGTACCTAATATAAGATTTTAATCTACCCTTAAGATTTTTAAGTCCTCAAATCAAGAGAATGGTTGCTAGTAAGTAACCATATTGTGGAGGACCTGAGACAGAGATGGGCAAACAATACCCAGAGTCTTAGATAGAAGGTAATTAAAGTCCTCCTATATGTTAGAAAGTATGGAATTGGGAAGGTGCTGTGCATAGAAGAAAGTGGCTTCATAGTGCAGTAAACAGCAGCAGTAATAGTTTTCTCCATGGTTAGTGTCCAATTAGTAACTCCCGAGAGGGCAAAGATAGAGAACCCTCTAACATTATTCTAATACTTAGTTTCCGTTTACTAAAGAGCATCTAAAATTCCTTATTGGAAAAAAGTATTTTGTCTTAATGTTGGATGTTATGTCAAAATCCTGCTAACTGTTACTAAATTTTTCCATAGATTTTGAGAAGTATGCTGTACAGAGGCTCTGAGGTTATGCGAGAAGTTGCTTGGGTCATATTTGATGAAATTCATTATATGAGAGATTCAGGTATATTCTGCAGTTTAGGTTTTTAATCATGTATTTCCGTTAAGAACGACATTAGGAATTTTGAACAATAAATAGTTGAATTTTGCTTTCAGTTTTTGCTTCTACAATTCTGATAAACTCTGGTTTCTTTAAATTATGGACAACATGAGATACTATCCCTGTAGGACTTCATTCAAGTATAGCTCCTTAAGTAGTAACTTGTGTTGGGCATGAAAATGAAAATTCAAATAAAGCAAATAGAATAAAAATCTGACTTGCTTCTAATACAGAAGTTTCTCATACAGTGTTAAAAATTAATATTTTCTGTCCCTTGTTTTTGAGACAATGTCTCAGGCAGTAGGCAGGCCTTGAACTTACTATGTAGTCCAGGCTGACCTTGAACTTGTGGTGCTCCTTCTGGCTTAGCTCCCAAGTGCTATGATTACTGGCATGTAGCACTACACCTGGCTAACATTTTCACTGTTTACTGTTAATTTAGTTTTTTAAGCTAAAACAGTGAAATACATATTGTAAAAAGTGGGCATTATGAAATAAAAAAGTGAAAAAATTATAAATACATTTTACTAAGACTATTACGTTAGCATGTATAATAGAAAAGTAGTTTGGAATTTTGGGGGTGCTGGGAAGACATTAATAAAATCACATTTCAAAAAACATGGAAACAAAGCATCTGTAAATAAGGAAGGGAAGAGGGGTTGAAGGGAGGGCAGGGGGATGGGAAAAAAGGATCACGTTAGACACAGGTACAAATTCCCTGTGATGAATGTGATCATTATGTATACTTAAAATGTACCAATAAACTTAATAAAAAAAAGTCTAATATGTATACACTTAAAATAAGATTTAGTTTTTATTTAAACCAAAGCACCAAGTTAGCCTGCACTTGTGACACACACAGTTTAAGAAACTGTTCATCAGCGTTTTTCCCTTGTCAAATTTATACAGTTAAGCTCTAATTAGAGTTGTTGTGGTTTTAAAATTATTCACCTCGTACTGATTTGTTCTTTTTAAGGAGGAAACTATCAGACTGACTTCTGTTTTTTGGTTTTTGTTTTCCATTTTAATAAAAACTGACCTCGAATTTTTTTGTTCATGAAATCTCTTTCATCTCCTGAGGATGAGGTTAATTGGGATGAATGATACCAGAAATCCTGTGTCTTCCAAATTTATGTAACTTTCTACCAAGCCATTAACCTCTGCTTTTAAAGTAAAGTGGAAATCTATTTCCTTGTCTTGTTACTTTGGCTCTTGTTTGGCTGATGGAAAAGATTCAGTTTGACCCTGCTCTTTGCAGGTTGTTTTTTGTTTTTGTTTTCATTTTGTACTGCTGGGGATTGAATCTAGGACCTTGTATGTGCAAGGCAAGAGCTCTGCCACTGAGCCACATCCCCAGCCCTGCAGGTTGTTTTAGAGCAAATTATATTTATAGTGATTTAGTGTGCTAACTAGGTTCATGATGAAAACTAATATAGTTTCAGGTTTTATGGCTAAAAATATGCTTGTCTAATGTGGTCTGCATACTTAATTACTAGATTTTTAAAATTTTGTTTCGTTTTTTGAGACAGAATCTTGCTTTGTAGTTCAGACTGGCCTTGAACTCACCATGTAAGCTCAGCTAGCCTTGAAGTTGGAATGGTCCTCCTGCGTCAGTATCCCAAGTGCTAGGACTATAGGCAGGCACCACCATGCCTGGGTCTTAATTACTAAGTTTAAGAGAAATTTAGATGTTACCTCTAAAATGGCAAGAGAATTTCAAGGCATGTTTATTTTTTTTCAGAGCGTGGTGTAGTATGGGAAGAAACTATTATTTTGCTTCCTGATAATGTCCACTATGTCTTTCTTTCGGCTACTATTCCAAATGCCCGACAGTTTGCTGAATGGATTTGTCATTTACATAAACAGGTATTTTTGCTGTTTTGATGACTTCAATATCCAAAAATGTTACCATAGCCTTCCTGTACTTTTTTCATAGTGCTATTCAGAATACAGAAGACATTTTAGTATGAAACCACTGTTCACATCAAGCAGCTTACCAAAATCAAGTATTTTTAGAAATGCTAATTTCTGAGACTCATCTCAAGACCAGAATATTTAAGTCTGTGGGAGTAGGGCCTTAAAACTCTGAATTTCAAAAGTTCCCTGGTTAAGCTGATGATCTGCCAATTTTAGAAATTATTGTATTTACTGTGTTAGTGAGCCATGAGTACAATACAGTTTTTTCTAGGCTTTGGTATTAGGAAAAGCTAGTCATGTCTTGAGTATTTGACTTGGTTTGATTTTTCTTATAAGCAGTTATATTTTTTTACTGACTTTCTGTTTTGCTTTAGTGCAGTTTAGTATCTGGGACTTTGTACCAAGCATCTGTTTAATGTAACAAGCATTTGTTTATATGTACTGAATTTTGTTTTGATTTTATTTTTCTGCCCTTGTCTTTTCCTTTGCACAAATATCCTCATAAACTTAATTTTGTGGTAAACATATGAACTCTACAGGAATAGTTTGGTAACATCCCCAATGTTATTCTTGTAGGATAGAAACTCCTCTGCTAGAAGAGGTAGAATACCCTGCTACTTTAGTATGGAGTTGGAAAGCCTCTGTGGGAAAAGTTCATTTTACCTTAGAAATCCTTTTATCACCATATTACTCCTCTGTAAAAACAGAGGCATCATTTGTACTTACCCCATGTCTGGGTAATAGATATTTCAAGTTTAGATCATGTGTTTGGTCCTATTTAGGGAACTCAGAAATTGCGAAGGTGATAATATGATTTGATACACCCATAAAAGTTTTTTTAAGTGTTTTCTTTTTCATTGTTTAAGTCACCATTTTATTTTCTCAAGGTCTTTTGGATACGTGAAATACACAATTTTATTTTGAAGAAATAAAATTTTCTTTCTTTTACAGCCTTGTCATGTAATTTACACAGATTATCGGCCCACTCCATTGCAGCACTACATTTTCCCAGCAGGGGGAGATGGCCTTCACCTTGTGGTTGATGAAAATGTAAGAAACTAATTGCCATTCTTACATCTGTAATGTTATACTTTATTTATAGTTTAATTTTATTAATTTTAAATTAGAAATGACTTTTTATCTCAAGTAATTTTACAATCAAAAATTGATTTATTTAGAAAATATTTGCATTTCAAAAATTATATTTGATACCGGGCAAGGCGGCATATACCTGTTGTCCCAGCTACTTAGGAAGCTGAGGTAGGATTACTTGATTCCAGGAGTTTGAGGCCACCCTTGCATCACAGTGAGATCCTAGGTCATGAAATTGAATAAATAAAAATTATATTTGAGACTTGTGATTTTCTTATGTATGAGTTTGCTTGTCCAGTATTGAAAATGATCTGGAGAACCAAGGCTCTGGATATGTTTCATATGTCTTATGACTTTCCCAGTTTCATTTGTCCTTTATCACCTTTTGTTACCTCTCATCAGAGGTTATCTTAAAAATTATTTTAGTGACTTTTGTTATTCTATTAAATCATTTTTATATTTGAGAAAGCTTTGTGTCTGAAGCATGAGAAATATTTGAACTATGATTAAACATTCATGAAGAGCCATAGCAAAAAAAAATCTTGTGATTCCAGGGTGACTTCCGAGAAGATAATTTTAATACTGCCATGCAAGTGCTTCGAGATGCAGGAGATTTGGCAAAAGGAGACCAGAAGGGGCGGAAAGGAGGAACCAAAGGTAATTGGGACTTCCTTTATAGAGTGTTTTACTTGTAAATTGTATTTTCAAATTACTGTGGTATTTCATGTCTTTCATTAATACTTTTCTCAGGAAGCTACTTAGAAATCTAATGGAATATGACAAAATTGAATGAATAAAGGTTGATCTCTTTTCTTACATGGTTTTGAGATAAAAATTTATAAAACATACAGTACACCTGTTTAAAGGGTACAGTTCAATGATTTTTAATATATTCACATAAATAGGCAAACATCACCATAATTAGCTTTTTTTATTTAGATATAGTTCACATACCATACTATTTTAAAATGTACAACTTGGTATTTTGTAATGTATTAATAAAGTTGTGCAACCCCGTGTACGTTAGCAGTTGTTGCACATCCCCTTCCTTTCTCACCCTGTTTCTGTCTCTGGATTTGCCTTTTCTGGATATTTCATATAAAAATAATCATTTGTAATTGACTTTTTTTACTTAGGATAGTGATTTTAAGGTTCATTTTGTTATGCTGTGATTAATTTTTCATTTTTATAACTCAAATAGTATTCCATTATATGGATATGCCACATTTTATTTTTTCATTCACCATGAAAGGACATTTGGTTTGTTTTTAGTTGTTAACTGTTTGAATAATGTTGCTGTGTACATTCCTGCATGTTGTACAGGTTTTTATGGGAATATGTGGTTTCTTTTTTCATAGTATGAATGAACCTAGGAGTAGAATTGTTGAGTTATATGGGAAGTCTGTTTTACCTTCTGAAGATTACCAAATTGTGAGCTGTGTCATTTTACATTCCCATCAGGAATATACGAGGGTTCCGTTTTTCCACATCTTTGCTAGTACTTATTATGACACATCAGTGATTACAGTGATGCTATTGTGTGTATAGTAATATTTGTAGTTTTGATTCAGATTTCCCTAGCAACCAATGATACTAAGCTTCTTGCTTTGTGTTCTTTGGCCATTTGTGTATCTTTGGAGAAGGGTCTATTCTAATCCGTTTATTTCTAAATTGAATTTTCTTTGTTGAGTTGAAAAGTTCTTTTTATATTAAGTACTTGACCTGATTTGGAATTTTTTTCCATTCTCTGTATTTTACTTTATTGATAAAGTCTGTTAAAGCCCAAAAGCCGGGGCTGGGGATTTAGCTCAGCGGCAAAAGCGCCTGCCTGGCAAGCGCAAGGTCGTGAGTTCGGTTCCCGGTACCGGAGAAAAACCAAAAAAATAAAATAAAATAAAATAAAGCCCAAAAGCCTTGCATTTTGATTATACAGTTTTACCTTTTTATCCCCCTGTATTGCTTCACCTTTTGGTGTAATAGCCAAGAATGCTTTGTCTAACCCAAAATAATAAAGATTTTATACCGTGTTTTAAGAGTTTTATAGTTTTAGCAGCAGTTAGGTTTATCATACATTTTGAGTTAATTTTGGGTATGGCTTATCTTTTTTTACAGGACCATCAAACGTGTTCAAGATTGTGAAGATGATTATGGAAAGAAATTTTCAACCTGTAATTATTTTCAGTTTTAGTAAGAAAGATTGTGAAGCTTATGCTCTTCAGATGACCAAATTGGATTTCAACACAGGTACTGCATAATTTCCATAGTGTTGCATGAAAATGAGCAAAACTTATCTCTGGTAATATAGTTGCATGTCTCTTACTGTTCTGTAGTGTTCAGCACGTTTAGGCTTTAAGAAGTCTTGATTTATAATTTATTATTCTCTTATGAATGGTGTAAGTACACTGCCATATGTTCAATCATAGAACCACACTGAGAAACATTAGAATCATACCTTTCTGTACTTCATTACTGTGGTTCTCTATCCAGTTTCAATGGGGATCAGTTGGTTTCGTGCATGCTAGGCAAGTTCTTTAGCAGTGATCCATATCCTCAGCTTTCTCTGACTTCTTAAGGGTAGGTCTCCTGTCAGACTACCTTCTGTTAGAGAAAGTACTATCATTCATTACTTGAGAAATCCAAAGCAGAAAATCTGCCTTTTGCCCAACTATGTTGAAATTATCAAAGTAATACAACTTCTAGAAAACACACTGTAAGTGTACCTCATTTAAAGTCACAGAGCCAGACAGAAGCACAGCCTGCACTGCAGTGTACTAATTAGAATTACTAGCTTACTTGTCATTAGGTTCTGCCTATAGCATATGTAATTCCATAGAGTGAGAAGTAATACCTTTCTTTCCAATACTGGGGATTGAACCCAGGGCTTTTCACACTGAGCTACATCGCCAGCACTTTTTTTATACTTTATATTGAGACAGGGTCTTGCTAAGTTACCCAAGCTGGGCTTGAACTTGAAATCCTTCTGCCTAAGCTTCCAAGAGTTCTGGGATTACAGGCATCTGCCCCACACCAAACTGCTGTTTTTTTTTTTAAATTAAAAAGCAGCTATGTTATGTACTTTAAAACAAATCCTTTCTTTTCTATGGGTCAAACTAAAATGGCAGATAACCTGAATACCCTTTTAAAGCCAGTAATATTTTATATTTTGTCACTGAATTCCTCTGCTTAGAAATGTTTTTTCTTTACTAGTGCTGAATAGACTTAAAATTTTAAGGTTATCTATTGACTGTTTGAGTGAGTATTTATTGAGTACCTATTTTAGATACAGGGTAAGAAAGCATTGTAATAGTTAAAAGGATGGACTCTAGCATTATTACTCCTAACAATTAATACCAGCGCTATTTGCACTTAGCCTCACTTTCCTTAGTTGCAAAATAGGAATATTAATAGTTCCTGTGTTCTGTAATTATTGGAATTAAATGTTCCTTGTGAAGCACTTAGTGTACTTAGTACTATTTTCATTTACTTTTTTTATGAATTGAGTGCTGGGTGTGTGTTGAAAGGTAGTGAATTTTATTAGTTTTATGGCGCTTTTTATCAACTTTTTTTTTCTTCTTTTTTTTAATTTTAAAGATAAAAGGAGGGAAACATTAACAGACATACAGCATTTTACAACATCACAAGCACAGTACAGACAATACAGAGTTCCAAACAAAGTGGTAGGGAATTAACAATGCTTGTTGTATTACATATTGATATCTTCAAAGTGGCTTCTCATGAAAACAGATATACACATGCAATACTGGTCAATCAAAGACTCATTGTTTATCAACTTTTTGACCATCTTAAATACTGATTCTTTACTCTGTATAGAGTCTTACTCTTGGTAATGAATGAGATTTGGTATCAGTGACTCATTTTAAAATTTATATATCCCTGTATTTTCTCTTAGATGAAGAAAAGAAGATGGTTGAAGAAGTATTTAGTAATGCAATTGACTGCTTGTCTGATGAAGATAAAAAGCTCCCTCAGGTGAATTTTTTATCACCAGTAAAAGTATAAATATTAATAGGCAGCATGTATTAACTTTTCATTTCTCAGTTTTGTTGCTGTGTTGCACTGTTTGTACATCACAGCATACATGTTGAAGTATACACCGAAGTGACTGTTCAGTTTGCATTTTAACGTGCTGAGAAAGTGCTAGGAAAGATTTTTAGCTCCCTGAAGGTACTTTTTTCTAAAAGCGAGAATAGTCTAGAAATTACTGCTTATGTTCCTTTGTTTCAGAATTTTTAGAGCTAGTTTTAAGTGATTTAAATTCTCAGTTCTCAAGATGAGAACAAACAATGAGAGTATACCTAATGAAAATTGTGTTTAGTAAGAAAGTTAACATACACATTTTCTTTGATTATTGAAATTACCTGGGAATTATTCGATATGCTGATATGTGGGTGCCACTCCTGTGTATTCTGATTTAACTGGTCTAGTTTATGTCCTGGTTTTATAATCTTTTGAAAGCTCCCTACATGATTCTGCTGTGTATACAAAGTTGAGAACTGCTTTAGACCAAGCAAGTACATTAAAGCTATATTGCATGAAAAGAAAAATTTCTCTACCATGAATGAATGACTGCTTTAATTTGTAAAGGGTCCACCATATGACTGCAGTAGAATGTTGCTTAAAATTATATTTAAAAATTATTTTATTATTTTTCTTTCCAGCTGAATTACTAATATTAAAGGACTGAGTTATTTCTTTATACATCTTCGTTATCTTGCATATTTCTGATGGTATTTTAATGACCTTTTGGAGAATGTTTGTTTTTAAATGAAATATGTATTTGTGTTAAATATGTTTTACCCAATATATTTTGAGTTAATTTGTTTATTTTTTAAAAGGCAGAGTCTTGCTATGTTGCCCAAGCTAGCTTTTAACTCAAGTGATCCTTCTGCCTCTGTCACAAGTCGCTGGGACTACAGGATCAAACCACCATTGCTGGCCCTTTTTATACAGATAGAAATGCTGCTGTCATGGCTCATAATTTTTGGAGGAGACAAAATGATAGTGAAAAATTTGAAGCAATGAAGCATTTGTAAAACTTAAGTGTGCTTATGTGTTCGGGTTAAAGAAACCTAAGCCAGAATTTTGTTATTTTATTATTCTGTGGGAATGTTGATTTGGGTTTTAATTTTATTCTGAAAAACTTTTATTAACAGTTTCTTTAAACAAAAGGCATTCCTTGTTTAATTACCCATTTTTCTTAATTGGTAAGTTTAACATTCTTAAATTCCGCTTTCCTGATATCATTATGATTTTTACTCCAAATTCATAGGTTGAACATGTACTTCCTCTTCTGAAGCGTGGGATTGGTATTCACCATGGTGGTTTACTTCCTATTTTGAAAGAAACTATAGAAATTCTCTTTTCTGAAGGATTGATAAAGGTATGATTTTATTTTTATTTATTATGCTCCAGAATTGTGTTCTGCATACATGTTGAGAATTACAATGAACATTATTTATAGGCAGTTTTATTTTGTTTTCGCATTGTTTAGAATTGAACCCAGGATCTTGTCCATGATAGACGTACACTGTACCACTATACTAAGTTCCTATAGGCAGTATCATTTGTTCTTAAAGTAAGAAGTGTTACTACTATTGGATACAGTAGGATTTTGAAGAAGATGCTATTTAATGATTGCAATGGAATTGTTTTAATAACTAGACTTCAACTAGACTTCTTACAAATTAAAAGGATTAATTTAGGGAAGGAAGATTTATTTGTTAGACTTAGGGAAAAGGTTTGAGAAAATTCTGATTGAACCCAATGAGAATCTAATTTAATTTTTTTGAAAAACATGACAGTGATGCCTATACTCAGAAGTGGTATGTGTTAAAGATGTGAAACGATGTCAAAGTATAATTGTATACCTATACATGAAAAGTCATTACAATTTTTAAATCTTGCAAGCATTTATTATAGAACCTCATCCCCAAATGGGATATTTAAAAGCTAATAATTGGTCAGTATTTATTTTTGGGTCATGGTAAAACCTAAGTTTTTTCTTTTACATGTAAGTTTTTTTTTTAAAGAGTAGGAAAAGTTTATTCAGTGAAAAAAAAAAAAAGCTTCTGTCTGAGAGGGACAGAAGGAGGCCTGGAAAGTGGGTTGCCCCTGTAAATTTTATAAGTCTTAATTTTATAGGATCTTTTCAAGAGTAAGTCTGATACGGTTGGTCATAAAATTGAAATAGACCAGTTGTACGTAAAATAGCATTCTTCTTCACTTCTTAGAAATGTCCAAGAGCACACATTCAAATAATATATGGTTTATTTTTGAACCAGAAAAGGTCTTTGTGTACCCAGGTTATTAACTGAATTTTGTCATGTGTGGGTCTTTGTTCTTTTTAGTGAATAAATGGCTCTCTTGTGAGATAAGGTAGTATCTTACTGATGAAAATTTAATAATTTATTACTTGACTTTTATGTATATATCTTTGTGTACCTAAATCAGCTTTGTTATTGTTGTTGATAATGTCTCAAAGTTGAACTTAGCAATTACTGATTGTGATCTCCCATTGGAGATCCTCATGGTGAAATTGTCCCCACAACTACAGTATTATCAGTGAAATAGCCAAGAAATTAGTATTTAATTAGAAGAATATTCTGCAGCTAAATATTTTGTTTGTTAAACCAGTTGTATTCTCTTTACTTACCATGTGGGAACGTAAGAAGACTTTTCACTGAATTAAAAACTTTGAAATTGCAAATGATAGATATTTAATTTTATATGTAAATACTAAAATACATCAGGAAATGGCATCTGGTCTGTTATTTTTGTAGGATCTCATTAAATAACATTTTAAAAATTAATGATACTTTCTTTTTTTATTTTATGGAAAAGTAAATTTTGTAACAAGATGATAGAATAACAGTAGTTAATATATCGCATACTATTTTTAAAGTAATTACTCAGAGTACAAGATATGGGCATAAAAAATTCTCCAAATGGTATTAGTACAAGCCTTCCTTTTCTATGAACTAAGAAACACTAATAGTAAAACTAACTTGAGTTAATTATATTTTCTGTACTTGAAAATTAGTTCTATGTAAAATACATGTTTTAATTGTGTAATTATTCATTTAGGCCTTATTTGCGACGGAGACTTTTGCTATGGGAATTAACATGCCAGCTAGAACTGTTTTATTTACAAATGCCCGTAAATTTGATGGGAAAGATTTCCGATGGGTAAGTAATTAACATACTGAAATAATTTTTATTTTGTTTTAAAATTACTTTGGCTCGTATAATCTTTGAATACATCAGTCACATATGATGAGAAACTTGTACCAAACTTGTACCTGTCCTAACACAGGTGTTGCTTCCCCTCATCTAAAAATACACATTGTTCAAAATCTGAAACTTGAGCAGTGGCGCATACCCAGAAAACTTCAGATTTTGTAGTATAGATTTCAGTTTTTCAAATTAGGAATGCTCTGCAGGTAACGCTTATACAAATATTCCAAGATCCAAAACAACCTGAAAAAAATCTGAAATACTTCTCGTTCCAAGTATTTCTGCTAAGAGATACTCAACCAATATAAGAAGTTCATTAAGAGTAAGTCTTGGATCTTTAATTTCTGCCCTATCCTTTCCTCTCCCACATCCTACCAGAAAAATAACACTCTTTTAGGTTAAGGAATTTAGTGTTGGGAAATAAGTGTGCAAGTGATTCATAAATGTTTTAAAACATTTTAAATCTAGAATTTTTATTATTTAAAGTGTAAAGTATTTAAAGTACCACTGCTAAAATGACTATAGTTGCACATTAGTGTTTTGCCCTCCAGGTTTAAAATGGAAATTCTAATAGATCAGCATACATGTCTTTTCCAGTACAGAAGAAAGGGAGAAAGTTGGGATCTTGAGTGAAATAGTGAACTGGTTTAAAAAGTAGATCTTTGATCAAGAGGCAAGTATTCCATTCAACAAGCAATTACCAAGTTTAGAATATGGCCTTAGAACTTGGATGGATACTGGGGTGCTAAGAAAAAACAAAAACTAAAAATACTCTTAGCTTTAATAAAATTTAGTAGTGAGTGAAAGTTGATGGACATGCAGTATGTCTGATCATGTTATATCTAAATAAGAAGGATATAGCATAAGGAATTTAGTTGTATGTTAGTGGGCCAGAAAAGCCTTTATATAGGAGTCCTTAAAATAAGCAGTAAGAGAGATGGGTGTTTGCCAGGTAGTGGAGCATTTGTAGGTATGTAAAGCAGGTGATAGAAGACTAATCATTTGAGCGTCCAGTGTGAGGCAAAGATTTACATAGTCTGGCATTTGGCAGAAATTTTAACAGGAGTCATACCTTAATACCTCATCACATTTGATACTTAAATCATTTTTATGTGAAAATTTGTTCCAGTGCTTTTTGCTAGTTAATGTACAAGCTGGAATTTGTAGATGTCTAGTGCCTGGTGACTCCCTGCCTTTTCCAGCCAAAACTGATTGTTTGGAACTTTGTTTTTCTTCTGGAACCGATTAATGACAAGTGCTGACTTATCGCTCTAGTCCTTTACTTGACCTTTTATATTTGAAATTTATTAGTGATTCTTTTCTGCTTAGAAAATTTTTTAGCAGTAATAACAAATCAAACCCCCTCAGTATGCATGGAAGAACTGTAAAGGCAAAGCATTTTTTCTTGATTCTTTTTAATTGCAAAATGTGTCAAATATGAGGCAATGCTAGTTCTCTTTAGAAATTATCAGTCTTCCAAAATTTTCTATAATTTGGTAACTTTATTTTTTTTTTTATTTTTTAAGAGACATAAAGAGGTTTAATAAGGCAAAATTTAAAGTACTAAAAGAAAATAGAATATGAGCCCTCAAGAGAGGTGCATTATTTTCTGGAGCTGAGAATATTTGTTTTTCTTCAGGAATTGGAAGTCTATGGAATTTGTGAAGGTGTAAGAAATTCTGTCTTGATCTTAGTTTATGGGAAAAGGATGGCTTGACCACAGATATATAATTGCCCATTTTACGGGTGAAAAGCACAGAGCTAGCATTTTTTTCTTAGCTGGGTGATCTCAGATGTTTTGCCTAAAAACATTTGTTGAACTCTTTATCTGTTTCTTTAAGATCAGATTTCTGCCTGCTTTTTATCAACTAAACTAAGTTATGGGCTTAGCCACTTACCAGTCCAATTATTTAAATACAGGATGGCCAGAAATTGCATTTTTTGTTTATTTTTATAAGGTAATATAACAAGGAATATAAAATTGGCAATTTTATCAAATTTATTCAATACAACAATCAACTGGTTGAAATGACACCTGCCCAAGTAATGAGTGATGCTAGAGGTAAACTGTTAAGTGGTTAAAATATCTTCAAGCAGGGCAGGGATATAGCTCAGTGGCACAAGCGCCTCCCTGGCAAGCTCAAGGTCCTGAGTTCTATTCCCAGTACCAAAAAAAAAGTAAAAGAAATATCTTCAAGGGATTTGGGGTATGAGAGGCCTAGAAGAAAAGAATCATAAACAAGCAGAGAATACAGATAGAGAGATAACCTTGGGGAACTTTATAAATCTATAAAGTATAATCTATAATTTATAATTATAAATAATAATTATA